TCAAAAAAAAAAAAAAAGAACTATATGCAGTAAATTACCCCTTTTGCTCTTTTACCCCTTAGCCTCACCTGATTTCCTCCACCATTTTTTCTTTTCCTCTCTTCTGTGTTCAAGACTGCTGGCTAAGCTTGCATAAAAAGTATTATTAATTGAAATGTCAACTACCTTTAAAAGGTCACTTATTAAGATCTTTAATATTAGTCAAGACTCACAAGTGAGTAGTGAGGAGACAAAACAGTACAAAGAAAATGACTGCCTTCAGCCAATTAAAAAATCTGTTATTCAAATAGGCATTTTACAAAACTGCAGGGTACAAGGTCAAGAAGATTTTTAGGTCAAATAGTTGTGCCTTTTCAAATAGTACTGTTTTCCATGGTTCACTGGAGCAAAACTGTTCATGCAAAAAATAAAACTGGAAGGGCCAGAGTGAAGGGACATAAAACATGCCAGTCCAACCTTGGGTTCTCTCAAGAACTGTAATGAGTGGTGCTCTATAATCTTCAGGAGAGTTGGCTTCCCCTACACAGTTCATTTTTAAAAGCCTATTCTTTAAAAAAAAATATCATTGCTTAAGTATCCCATTTCTGTTGTGTCTTCCTGCACCAAAAGCATCACTAATTAAGAATCACCACTGAAGTTAAATTCTAAGAAAGAGACTACATACATATTCATACTTTTTAAATCAGAAATGTATGTTTTAGAATATTTTAAAGGAGGACCTTAGATTTTGCAAGTACAAGTCTTTATTTTCTACCACTTTATCTCATTTCTACTTTATTTTCTATCATCTACAATGATATATGACATACATATATCATTGCTGCTTCAACAGTTTGTTTACATTTCTGCTAACTCCTTACTTACTAGGTTTTCACTCCTTACTTACTGCTCTAATATGCTGTATCAGCCTCCCTTTCAAGATAGCAAGACATTAAACAAAATAGTTTTAAAAATACAGAAAACTTCTAAAATGTCTTCACCATTTTTCTTAAAACCATAGGTTATAAATAAATACAAGGAAAACAAAAATGTATAGCACAGAAGAGGTACAGAATTTTGGTTTTTACCTAATTAAAATTTTATGATAGAGGAAAATCCTAACTTTCTCCCTGTTCTACTGATTTCTTTCTTTCTAACAGCCTACAGACAGCTAAGAAACTTGAGAGGAGTCCTTCATAAAGCAGAGTGCTCTTATAGTGACTCACTAATTACAACCTGGCTTTACAGCTTTCTAAGTGAGGGAAAAATAAACCCACAACATATGGCATTTTGTGGGGAGGTTGACCATATTCAGTACCCAAAACAACCAAATTATTTTAAAGAGAGTCCAGTCATGTATCTGCCATGTAAGTCCAGGGCCAGGCACAGTGGCTCATGTCTATAATCCTAGTACTCTGGGAGGCCCAGGCGGGTGGATTGCCTGAGCTCACTAGTTGAGACCAGCCTGAGTCAGGGCAAGACCACATCTCTAAAAACAGCCCAGTGTTGTGGCATGCACCTGTAGTCCTAGGTCCTTAGGAGGCTGAGGCAAGAGAATCACTTAAACTCAAGAGTCTGAGGTTGCTGTGAACTGTGATGCCCACAGTACTCTACCAAGGGCAACGAAGTGAGATTGTGTCTCAAAGAAAAAAGTCTAACTCAAAAAGAAACTAGATTTGTGGGTACTGTTTGAATTTGATTCCTTAACAAGCATTTCAGGAGACTCTAATACCAATTAATAACAGCATTATATGAGACTAAACATCGTAAACTATTAAAGCTAATGGAGTCATCAGAAGCAAGACTTTCAGCATGGTGTTTGAAAGACAAAAGCAGATACTCTCCCCAGTGAAAACAAGCATTTAACTGATAAAAATTGTTTTTAAAAATCATTAAAGTCTCTGTAATCCTATTATGTGAGAGGCTGAGGTGGGTGGATTGCTTGACTCAGGAGTTCAACATCAGCCTGAGCAAGAGCAAGACTGTGTCTCTACTAAAAATTGAAAAAAAATTAAAGTCTCTGGAAATTCTCATAAAGGCATATATTAAGGGAACAAATATAGCCTGGCAGGATGGCTCATGTCTATAATCCTAGCACTCTGGGAGGCCAAGGCAGGTAGATTGCTTGAGCTTACTAGTTTGAGACCAGCCTGAGCAAGACCAAGACCCCATCTCTTATTTAAAAAAAAAAAAAGAAAGAAAAAAAGCCAGTACTGTGGCAGGAACCTGTAGTCTCAGCTACTTGGAAGGCTGAGGCAAGAGACTCGCTTGACCCCAAGAGTTTGAAGTTGCTGTCACACCATGGTACTCTACCAAGGGTGACAAAAGACAGACTCTGTCTCAAAAAAAAAAGGGGGGGGGAACAAATATCTATTCAAGAATATCTACTAAATCTCATTAAGAACTAAGTCTGTGACATTTAAGCCACAATTTTTTCCCCTATCCCAAGTGCAGGGTGGTGGTGGTTCTACTTTTAGTGGGTGTAACCCGGAAGATGGGCAAATACTCTCCCACCTTTCTACACTTTAAATCAATATTAAGTATGTTCAACAACTAAGGAAACCACATCTAAAGAAACGAAAGAATGAGAACAGTGTTTCACCAACTAGAGATTATCATTACCCAGAAATTATAGTAAAAAAGAACCAAAGAGAAACTCTGGAGTTGAAAAGTATAATTACTAAAATGAAAAATTCACAGGGAGAAACACTAGTCATTCCATGGCAAATTTGAGCAGGCAAAAGAATCAGTAAACTAGAAGATAAGTCATGTTTATTTACTTTAAGGAATTTTAAAAAAAGAAGAGGCTCGGCGCTTATAGCTCAACCGGCTAAGGCGCCAGCCAC